GATCAAAAAACTTAAATTTGTTCGAATAGCTTTCTAGATTCACAATACACGGTCTCGTCAAGGTGCGTCGTTGACCTTGCAGTGTTGGATCGTGAATTCTCTTGTTGTGCTGCTTGCCTTTTTTGAAATCTCTGTAAATGAAAACTAAAGGGGTTGATATGTGCGAGTTAATGACGCGCCTTATCAACACATTGTGTTGGAGTTCACTGCTTGTTTTTTCTTCCATTGTGCGCTCTATCAGCTAATTTCTTGATTTTTCGGTTTGTGTTTCGAGCTGATTTTAAGTATCGTTGTTTGTGTTGCAGGAGAGAAGCCGTACAAGTGTCATTGGCCTGGCTGCGGGTGGAGTTTCGCGCGGTCGGACGAGCTGACGCGCCACTACCGGAAACACACCGGGGCCAAACCGTTCAAATGCGTCCACTGTGATAGGGGCTTCTCCAGATCGGATCACCTGGCGCTTCATATGAAACGTCACAACTAGAACCACCACCGCCCCCCACTCCGGCGCCCCGGTGACCCCTCCAACCTGCTTTTATATTGTTGTTATATTTTGTTAGCACCATTATCATTGTTAATATCCTTCGACGGATCATTGAATGGGTCTCTTGCAAACTGCAACGGGAGTCATGAAAAGAGTTGAAGCAAGGAGCGTTGAAACGGCACAAAGTTTTTTTTTTTTTTTTTTTTTTTTCCAAACTTTTAGAACCTTAAAAAACGTTGAACGTTTTTCGGCATAATGACACGGTTTTTCGACACGGAAAAAAATTAGTTGGCATTTACTATATTCTGGTTAATAAACGGCACAACCAGAGAGTACGGAAACTTTCATCAAAATTATCGTGAAAGTAACAAGATTTTTCCGTATTGTGACAATAATTTTGGTCGAAGTTACCATACTGTCTGGTTGTGCCGTTTTTCCACCAGAGAATGGTAAATGCTTCCCAACTTTTTTACCGTGATTTTCCTAAACTAAAGCTTAAATCACAGTTCAAGCCTTGTGTGTTTCGACCTGAAAATCTCATGGGTCAAATTCGACATTATTATATACAGACTATCTACAAGGAGATACGGATTCGTGCCTTTTTAGCTGTAATCTTTTTTACGTAGGAATCATGTGTGACTGACTTGAATGAAAAGGAGCCGTATAGCATTCGTATTCATATAGTTCTTTTTTATTAAATTCATATACCTAAAGTTCCATATGGCGTAAATACTACCAAATTTGCAAGGAAGGAGCTTAAAAATCCGTAAATGTCTTGTGTATTCCGCAGACAGTCAGCAATCGCCGGAAATTTGCAAGTAGCATGCGTGTGTTAACTCGATAAATTCTCATAATATGCACAGTCATAATGAATGAAGTATCACAGGTGCATGTGCATTGTCTCGGCTTCGAGCGTCTTCAAATGCGGATGATACTATCAGCTTTGCGAGGAAGTTAGTTTAGTTGCCTATTCGAACCAAACGTAACAAATGTCACCGATTTCATCAGGTACAGTACACACACTTGCTTGTGTGCGTACGCTGATACCATGCATTGAAGGAGAAATAATCGTCTTTTCAGAATCCAAGCTTAACATTTAGTACTTTCTATCTTGTTTTATTTCTGAATATTTACATGTTTTTACTCAACACATATAAATTGCAATTTTCCAGCTATTGCTAAATTGCCTGCCACGTGTAGATTCTGTGATAAGGAGTGAATTTCAGACTTTGTCAATTCACTCATCGTGATTTTTGGAGGTTCTATCTTTTGGAACAAATCTATTTTTTGCTCCTGCTGAAGTTTGCAACAGACCCTTTGAGCGTGCACTCTCTTGTTCTCAAATACTTACCAATTTACCCGTGAGCTCGTCCTCTCGCGTAAGGGATTCTTACAAGCAGTGGCAAGGGGTGAATGATCGATTATCGATATTTCCTCATTTGATGCTGTGGTAAAACATCGATTGTTAAGGTGTCCGTTGCGAACACCCTATTAATCGATCCTTTTCCATAGGATTAAAGGGCAGGTCGATCGATATATCGCAAATTACGCCATGCCACTGCTTACAAGTTGGAGCTCACGTGGGATGGTTCACTCACGCACATTGGCGGATTCAACAAAGCCACAACATTATTTTTCTCCATTCAAACATATGTTAATGTATCGACTCTTGGAGGCGCTAGATATTCCAACAAAAATCGATCATTCAACACAGGTATAATGAAGGAAAGCCAGTGTTGCCAAGTTGTTGGATCCACCTTTGCTCATTCATGATATGAAAACGGGGGCTTCTCAATTTTTAATTTTTCAGTCGACTTTCCTAATACGTATTGATTAATGTTCACAAGTCAAGGTATCGATAACATCTTTGGAAACGGCACCTAATGGCATTGATTGTTAAATTTGAGCTTAGGGAAAACGTAAATGAGCTGTCGAGACGTCAGACTGAAATAACTCTTTGTTCATATAGCCTCAACGTCCTTTACGTATTAGATCAGCAAAATTATTTTTTTCTCTCTCTCTTTCATTTCTTCAAATTTCCAAATGGAAGAAGTAATTAAATGGATTTTACCAGATTGACTGAATATGTTAGATGTTACCTACATTTTTTCTGATTTGATTCTTGTTGCAAGAAAACTGACCAACACTCAACTGTGGAAATTTGTGAATATAACCTCTATGAATTATGAAATATGAACAGAAAGTCCAAGAGCTTAATGCTGCTCAGCTTCTTGAGAAAGGAGAGAGCTTTTCAGAGGGCATGAAACGTATTTAGACTGATTTGGGTTAAACCGTCCAATCGATCTACTATCTCACCAAGAACAACTTATATGCAACTTCCTACTTAAATTCTTGCAGGAAAAGGGGTATACCTATATATTGCCACAGCATTAATGTACTTGTTTTCTTAATATTAATATTATGATACATGGTAATGATCTCTTGTCTTGGGTATTTTCCACCAAAAGTAATTTCTGAAGAACTAAAATTTGTCGTATTTTTTTCTTTCTATTTTCCATCCTCTTTTACTTTTACATTCACTCCTTGGGCCTAGGACCGATATTTTTTTTTATTTTTAATATTACACATGTCAGTAATTTTTCAACGAAAGTTCTTTCCACGAAATGTTGCAAACAATTTTAAAATGTCACAAAAAAAATCAAGTTTCTAAAACCATTGAAAATCAAAGATCGGAAAGATAGATCCATCCCCAAAGCCATGCATTAGTATGTCCAATCATGTTTTGAGTCTTCTAATATCACTCGTTCCCGTTTGTTGTGCGTGAAAGTGAACCTGTCTGATTGAGAATTCCCATCTTTCTGTCGTGAGGTACATTTCTTAACCTTGAAATTCCACCAGAATCTGAGCAAAATAATAAGAAATAATCGAATAAAATAGTAAAAAAACACATTTCGTATACAGCTCGCCCCCTCATCTGGATAGGGTGCGCTCCTGTTTGACGCAGTAGATCAAGTATTTGAACAAAATTCTACTTTTTTTTCGGATCCAAGTTAAATTTTTTCTACGAACAGAGGACTGTAACTGGGCGGTGTAATTAAGTAAAACTGCAAACAGCCCCGCCCCCTCTCTGTTAACGCGAGGTTGCTAAATCGTGTGGCGGAATGTTCATATTTTACATTGAGTTTTATCAGATGAAAATGCTGATTTAGCACACATCAGCACCACATGTCAGCCATGAGTGCCAGCGTGATAAATTACGCAAAACCCAACTTGAGGAGCCGCTACCTCGAACATCAATGTTTCTCTGAGTCCTGAATGAAGATGTCGGGTTTTTTTTAAAGAGTAGAAGCCTAAAATTTCCTTGAAATTGGTTCAGATTCGGCGTCAAAAAGAGTAAATTTAAAAAAAGTAAGCCAAAGCAATTCGATGCAATGCTTGACTTGTTCCAAGCGTCGACGATTTTTTGCACCTGTTTTAAGGCTCTGTGATATTAAATATTGTTTAATAATTTTTACCTAGATCAAAAATGGACTGTAAACATTTGTAGATAGATGCAAATATCTAGTTTTATACTTAGATACATTATTTTTACGACTGCGACTTCCTAAATCATTGTAATGAATATCCTGTCGCATTTTCTCTACTTTTTTTCTAATTATAACAGATTATTTAAATTCCAGTGAGAAATAGCCAAAGTTTAGGTGAATGTCAAACATCAAAATTTTTCGCATGCTGATAGTCCTTTTTAATAAACACGGTTGATTCGTGTGCACAATGAGGTTACAAAATAACTTTAAGTGCTTTTATGTTTATTCATTTTTCTTTTAAAGAAGAATATGCGTGTGCAAACGTACACAAAGGCATATTAGCTAATTCGCCTATCTCAATTTTTCAAATGCCTTGCCCTCCTTTATGGAAGGCGGAATGATAAAACTTCTTTGATATCAATAATTTGTAGGTGAAAGGTATTCGCGATTAGGTAATATCCTCTAGATTAATTCGATTAATTTTCATTTGTTTCTATGTGAGCAGTAGAGAAATTGAAGCTAGCAATGAATGTAGTTCTAATGTATAAAAGAAATAAGAAAAAAAAACAGTAATTGTGAACTGATCTTTTTCACGTGGATTGTTTTTTACGGACAAGTCTAGAGAAATTCCCTCTTTTGCACCATATTGTCCCTTCTTTAGTATATTACTCGACGTAATATTCGACGATGAAGTTCTCAAATCATGTACCTCGGTTTACAGCTTCTTATCATACTTTATTTCTTCCAAGAAAATTATTTAACATAATCACTTGAAAACTCTTTTTCATGTGTTCTGTGTGAAGAATATTCTGTAGGGAATTCAAGGAGTGCTATTAGTTCGTTCTCCATTCCAAAATCGGCGCAAAGGAGAAAAGTAAAAACACCGCAACCGATATTCATGATTTGGGAGTTTTTACGTCCATTTGTTTTGTCATTTTAAGGCAGCCAAAAACGGCCAAAGCAGTTATAGCCTCCAAGAGGTCCTGAGGTTACCATTAAGTTAAGCTTTGTACAGATTGATTGTACAGCGTTATGAATAAGTTATGTTTAGCTACTTCTCTCAGTTGTTTTGGAGCTCATTCTTGTCGCTGACTGCTCGAGGAATTGAAGTTTATTAAAATTAACACGCCAATGAAATGTAATATTTCAAATTGAATCACCGGAAATGGAGTAATGGTTTAAAAATCAGAAAAAGCATACATTGGGGAGTTTTCCTTCGTCCTGCTGTGTTCAAAAAATTCTCTCAACCCTGGCCAGCCTCTTACACTTGTGAATTTGCAGGAAGACTGATAACAAATTTTGAAATCACGACCAGACCAATTCCAGCAGAGAGGGATGAGTCTGACCTTAACGCCCAAACAAAACCAAAGAAAACAATTATCGTAAAAATCTTGATCGTGTTTGAAAAACCTCACGACATTAGACAGTTTTCAAGTCGTAATGTTATGTATTACATCATTTCTGTGATGTTGAACTTTTGGTTCGAAAATGAATGCTGCCTATGGAGTTCCCGGTAACCATTCCCTCTTGTTCTCTAGAATTTGTGTCCGCTCTTCTCTGCTGAATTCAGCTCGGGCCGTTGTTCAGCAGAAGTAATTTGGTGACTGAAAGTCTGACATTTGGACTATTACTGCCAAACGGAAAAATGTGCATTAAGACATAAGCCCTAAGACCCATAAAAATATTTGCAAAACAGAGCTCAAGTCATAATTCACATAGTTCCGTTTGGCAGAAGTAGACCGTCCATTTCTCAGAAGTAGACGAGTGATTTCCTTAAAATATCAGTCGCTGCTGCTTCATGTCCTTAGTATCCGAGACATTCAAGCGCACGAGAGAAAGAATTTTGTGACTTCGGAGCCATCTTTGAATTCCATGAAAATGTAAGAACGTACCTACAGGAATCTTTATTAATTAATGGATTGAAACTGATCATTTTTTCTTCCTTATTACTTGCTTTTACGAAGAATTGGACCTTTCCATGCTGAAAAACATTGAATGGAAAAAAAAATTCCGAAGGAAAAATGCAACTGCCGGGTGCATGAAAACATCCAAGGAAGTTCAGAAATTATAAGTAGAATGATAACTAACCGAAAGTGTATTTTTTTCCTACTTTAATTACAATCAATGAAGCATCTGTGATGTTCTTAATTTTATCTTTCTAAATTCTGTGCCAACTGGTTCTGCCATAGCTTTTAACCTCTTTGTTCTTACCATTACAAAGTTTGACTTTCATCAAATGAATAGCTCTGCCAGAAAATGATCAGCCGTCAGCTGATACTTTTCCAGTCCTCGTCGCTTACATACAGGCAATTTTTCCATTGCTAAACATAATTTAATATTTTCTTTGTTTTAATGTCATATTTTAGTTTAGTTATTCGCTTATTCATTTATTTTTTGTTTTTAATACTTGTTTGGAAAAAAAAAACTTTTGAATGTAAATCGCTGCCAATTGTTTACATATTTTTGTTCAATCTGTGGTTCATCCGTCTATTGATGGCCCCTAAGCAAAATGTTGTACCATAGATTATCTTTTATTTCATATTTTATTGTTATTGTTATGTGTTTTGCTAGTTTTGTAATTTATATGTTCGTTTATTTTATTTTATTTAATTTTATTTTAGTTTCGAACTTTCTTTTTCTTTGATCCCAACTTTATTATTTATTGATTTGTTTTTTCCTTCTTCTTTTTGTAAATAATTTGATTTAACACATGCTACGTAAACACAATTGACTTTTTTTTATTGAAGGAAGCGATTAAAACCATAATCTTATTTTGTGTGATTTAGCATGTGTTAAACGTGTAAAATAGATGTATACTTTTAAAATATGAATGTGCGTTCAATTTTTTCCTCCTCTTTTTGATTTAACATTTGTTCATAAGTTGATGATCCGTTTAGGACTGGTCAAAACCTCCAAAAAACATTTTTCATTAATTATCTGACCGTATGAACATTTCCCCAAACTCGAATAAAAAGAGTAGCCGCTAAAATTGAAAATAAAACCAATGATTACCACCTTTGTGATTAAAGCACCGAGTTGCCAAGGGAATAAAAATGGTGCAATTTCCTCAGTCACCAAATCTCTTGGTTTCTCCGTGCCTTAATTTTAATTTTTCTTTTTTTAATGTTTATATGTATGGCCTATGTTGCTTAAAACATTAATGAATATATTTTTTAAAATTTGACGGATGTTTGTTTTATTCCCCACCGTTTTCGTCCTTAAATGTTGCTTTTAAATTAAGGAGATAACCAACACATCATACTTAGAATACTGATGTACGTATATCTCTGTGCCGATTGGAACCTTGTCCGGCGTGATATATGGATCCAGAGGCGGATCCAGCAATTTGGCAACAGCGGATTTTCCCATTTAAAGCTATGTTAAATAATCGATTCTTCTCGGAGCACCTGGCCCCTCCAAGAATCGATATATTTCCATAGGTTTAAATGGAAAAAAGACAATGTTGCCAATTTGCTGGATCCGCCAATGTATGGATCCTATTGTGTCCTTCAACGTAGAATACGAGGTATATCTCCTTTACAAATGCCTAGCTCACGATTACCAATGGTGTAGAGTGTTATTGTCGATACGACCGTGGCGATAAGTCCACTGCATAGCATATTAAGAAAGATTGAACTCACCTCTCCGGAGGACAAGAAGTAGACCCTCAAGGTATGCGTTGGACAAGGTTCCTGTCAGAACGGTTTTCTCCTAAAACTTCATGGAAACCTCAGGTCGTAGTTATAAAAATAGACCAACAGCTACGCTATGAATTTAAAAAATCTGAAATATGGCCTCCTTAAAATTTCACATAAAATACGATTCACGCCACGAAATTACTGAAATTAACACCCGACCAATATATTAACGTTTCTATATAACACTGATCACGAAACATGTGAATTGCCCGCAGTCGCGGTTCTTGAAAGTTGGTAACACTGTTCTTCCTCCATTTAAGTGTATGTGAAACAATCTTGGTGAGACAGCTTGCCTCGCCTAAAATCGATATTTTTAATGGAGTAAAACCAGTGTCGCCAACTTTCAAGAATCGCCACTGATAGTTATGAGAGGTGAAAAACCTGAGCCGAAAAGCCAAGTTTGTAGTTGCCATAGCGATTTTAATAAAGTAGATAGCGATGATGGACTTGGGTAGTGTTTTAATAGTTTTTTTATGGGAAATTTTCAAAAATTGTTAATATCTTAGTTAAAAGTTTTCTCCAAGAATTTTTTAAAATTGCATTTTACGTGAAATTTTGATGAGGAAACAGACAACATAATGCTTGAATTCGCATTTTGTCTGTTGGTCCGTTGCCTTTTCTGCATTTCATAATGGCATATCCTTCCATCGGAGGGTCAGTAACGTATGGTTTTCGATCAGACTTTGATTACATACTACTATCACACGCTGTAGAATTTGTTCTAAAAGACATCAGATATTTCAAATTTTATTAAATTTTAATCATAGATCTGACACGACAAAAATGTATTGAAGCTCCTCGCTGATACACGAAGTTCCGATTGCATCGGATAATGGAAGATCAAACACAATTCAATAAAATTGCTGTCACTAAATCAATTTTGAAATTGTAAAAAAGTTCTCAAGTTTGATGGAAATTATCAGTCGTGGAAAACAGTGGCGAGGCATGAATAATCGATTATCGATATTCCCCCACTTGAAGTTATGGTAAAGAATCAATTATGAAGGTGTTCGTTGCAAACACCCTATTTATCTACCCTTTTCCATAGGTTTAAAAGGCAGATTAATCGGTATATCGCAAAGCGCACCACGCCACTGGTAAAAGCTTATGATGGAATTGTGACGAAAACTTGAGCGAGTTGTCGCAAAAATAGAAAAAAACGGCGAGTCGAAATGACTATATTTTCTCGGTAATTTAATCAAGTTCTCCGAGGAGCAAAATAGATTTGCACAAATTTGGCAAAGTTGAATAAATTATAGTTGAATTATTTGGCAGAACCAGCCTCAGTTTGGTGGGGACTCCTTCATATTCTGAACTCGTTTTCGTCATAAATCCCATCAATAGAAAACTTGCGGGGAAAAACAGTAGGGCAGCCACCCAAAATTACGCAAAGTTCCTCTCTGCCTTGCCGAAGAAGAACGCTGTAAGAACAGAAGAACATGTTTTAAACATGGAATAGATAAAAATGTCAAATTCCCTCCGATCAAATATTCCTGATATTTGTTTGAAATTTCGTAAACTGACAAAATTTGAGTATCTGCCTAGGCATTAGACGAAATGACTGATTTGAATAATCGCCTGCGACATAGCTATGCCACAAGGAACTATGTATAAATGAATCATAAAAGGTTTTATGAAGCACCAGTGGAGCGCGGCGTTCTTCCTTAGCACGGCAGGATAGGTCCACAAACACATCGTAAAAGAAGATTCTGGTATCAAGTTTTAAGAAAAAAAATCGAGTGTCAACACATCCGAAGATAGGATAGACGTATTCGGGGTTCGTATTTTAGCTTTACTGCCGCATCTGAGCGACAACTCAATGGCAGAATAGAACGAGGCATTGCTAGTTCACGCCTCGCGCCATCGCGCCTTCAATTTTGCAGATGCAACACGGACATCCATCAAGCACGAATAGTTGTATCTCTGCGCCGTCACCAACGTGCGTCCTCTCTTTTGCTCTCTTTCTAGGATCTTGTGTTGAAAAACAGCAACGGAGGACCATTTTCAAAAAAAGCAGGATCAAAGTTCACTTCATACATTTTATGATCAGCACCTTATCAACAAAAATTCAGTCATTTCTTTGAAATTTTCAGGGACACTAGGTGAAATTGCGAACAAAATTATGTGAAAAAATTGGAGGGAAAATTTTCATAAGTTTACCAGGAAATTCGTGTATTATCGAAGGAAATTTTGCAACGCTTGAAAGTTCATACGGCGTTCTTCCTTAGCGCGGCGGTAATGTGGTCCGAATAAATCATTCGTGAGCATCGTCGAAACAACCGGACGAGAAGTTTTGAAAAAAAGTGTAAGTACGTAACGCTCAAGTTGCTGCTCGGCGCGTAATTTCGAGCGGGGGAAAACTGCTGATGATAATGATTGCGACTGCAATAATAATGTAAGGACACTAAACGGAGGAGCAGCGTCTGAAATTAATGAAACGTGCAAGGGGAAGCGAAAGAAATTAATTGGCAAAGAAAGCGAGGAGCTCGACCCCCCCCCTCAACCNGGGGGGGGGGGGGGGGGGGGGGGGGGGGGGGGGCTCCGGCTCGAGATGACTACCGCCCCGCCGGGGGAGCGCATCGACCGCAGTGCGATAAAAAATTGCGGGGTGCAGGGGCTTCAATCGAGCAACTCGAACAAACAATTTGCGTAATAGCGTAGCGCCTTTCTTATGCCGGCCGGACAAACATCGGATGCGTTGCGGTCGCAGCGTTGCCGTATTCCAGCGGACGTGTTACCGTTTTGGCTCCCGTCAGAAAACCTGGTCTCTCTCATTTAAGCCGTTTTTGCCGACCAGCGGGCCGATTATTGAAATTGATAGACAAAGTCCTAGACAAAGAAGACAAGAGAGATATGGAGGGATCCTATTGGTGGAAGCGGGTGGTTGCTACGGACAAAGAAGGTAGGTAATAGACAAACTAATGGCAATTAACCCACTCGGGACCCGACAGTTAGTCTATCATTTCCCCCCTTAGTCTCTATGAGAACCACCCATTTCAACCAAATGGATTGCTTTATACCCCCTATGTCTTTTCTGTCTATAGCTTCAAATATTGAAATTGATAGACAAGCGATAGACAAAGAAGGCGTAGGGAGTTACGAGCTATCCTATTGGTTGAAATGGGTGGTTCCTATAGACTAAGGGAGGAAATGATGGACTAACCATCGGGTACCTCGTGGATTGCCGTTACTTAGTCTATTACCTACCTTATTTGTCCATTGCAACCACCCGCTTCCACCAATAGGATCCCTCCATATCTCTTTTGTCTTCTTTGTCTATAGCTTTGTCTATCAATTTCAATAATCGGCCCGCAGGTTGGCCTAGCGGTCAGCGCGTCTTATTGTGGACCAAATGGTCCCGGGTTTGAAGCCCGGTGGTGGCGACACATTTTAACGGAACTGACGAGTGGATATGTAAAAACAGATTCTACTCGACCTTAATCCCTGAAAATTTGAAAGCCGGAGCATGGATCTGCCAAAATCCCACTGAAGTCTACTGACAATAAAATGAATCAGTGAGATCGGAAACACACCACATCGGTATGCTCAATTTTCATTAAAGACGGTCGATTTTTATAAAGGTCATTGAAGTTAGCGCATCTGTTCCAACTTGGACCTTTGAAATTTTCTCAAGTGCTTGGAAATTGGCACCAAAAATCTTTTTCTTAGACTAATTTCTTCATCTACTGTGCAGTTTTGTGTGTGTTTTGATTACTTTCATTTTTCCTAGTTGGTGTGTTTTCGTTCTCACTGATTCAAATAATCTCTGTGTTGAAAACAAAAGAAAGAAGAAAAAAAAAACCTCATGTCTATAGAATAGATGGCTGTAGTTTCTTGAGTGACTAAAGAAACAGGGACGGAAGTCAAATGAACTGCGGGAAAACAAAAAGAAAGAAAAAGAGCCGTTTTGGATCCCGATCCGATCCAACATTTTCCTGCCCATTTTCACAGGCTTAGGACTATTCTCAAAGACAAGCCTACAGGCATTATATACAGTGGACAAAATAGGAGAAAAAAGGTAGAAATGGTACGTAAAAGAATTAAGAAAATAGGTATTGCTTCCCGCCACGAAAAATGGCGCTGATTTCCATGGAGCAGTGCGGGCCTTTACCAATGGATCCATTAGTAACATACCCGCTGTAAAACGACGAGAAAGAGCGTACTTTACTAACGTGGTGAACGCTCAAAACTCACGCTTTCACTTACTAATTATTTATATCGGACGCGTTTCGGTGGCTACCCGGGCCACCGTCATCAGCTGACTGCTGGCGCCTACAAACCTAACAGGGATACTTCACGCATTGCATCAGCTGACTGCTGAGGCCTACAAACCTAACAGGGATACTTCACGCATTGCGCAATGCGTGAAGTATCCCTGTTAGGTTTATAGGCGCCAGCAGTCAGCTGATGACGGTGGCCCAGGTAGCCACCGAAACGATAAATAATTAGTAAGTGAAAGCTTGAGTTTTTTTAAATTTTTCGAAAG